GCATCCCCCGGAGGGCTTCTTTAACTACATCTGCGGTCTGCAGGAGTGACTAGGCCGCAGCTGCAACATTCAATGCTATGACCAACACCGTGCCTAAGTTATGGTGGTCATAATCGTGAAATTCTGTAGTGCAGGCAACTATGTGTTTCGGAATGCCTTCCAAAGCATGTTGCTGCTCTTTGCTTTGCGTTGACAGGCATAAGGGCTTGCCGCCTTCAAGTGTCTTCAGGGCCTCGGCTAGGCTCTGGATTTTGATGATCCCGAAGAACTTCGGGGTTCGAGCGGTTCTTCGTCATTGTATGAGTGGTTGTCAAAATTAGGGTCCCTTTTTGGGTACCCTAAATTTTAGGTGCAGTATTATAATAAGGACCCAAAAAATTTTGACAACCAGCGAGATGTACCGTTGAGCATTGTAGCCCTACTCCACCTGGAATTGCTTTGAACCATCAGTGCCTCCTTAAGCCTATTAACAGCCGTCGATCCTGATACGGTCAAAGCTCAAGCCGCCAACACCAAAAGGCCAGCACGCCAACAGCCGCGACGGCATAATGTCAAGTTGTCAGAAGCCCGTTTCAACAGGTTATAGGAACGATCAGACAAGATCCTGCGCAGAAGATCGCGCTCCACTCTTTCGCTCTCTCTGTCCCACTCTCGCACCGCCTCTCCCTCCCTCTCTCAAAAACACAGACACTCAAACCCACGCCTATGCACAACTTGCACAGCCCAGTAGACATTTACGGAAGCGTCGCAGAAGATTCTATCGAGGTGGCCCCTGCCAAATCAGCGCCCTTGCAAGCATTCATGCGGGGCTCGGGCCAGACCTCAGCCACGACTCCCTAAGCCCGAAGCCTCCAACCCACACCGTTGGGGGCCTGGGTGAAAAGATGCCGGGCTTGGAGGGTTTGAGCTGTGGAGTGCAGAGGCTTTTTCGAGTTTTGGGGGTCCGGAGGTATGTATGGGCTTCTATCTATGCCAAGGCTTAGGCTTGGGGTTGGGGAGGGATGTCAAGGGCAAAAGGGCCGTGAACAGAGCGCAGCCAGAGTTCAGGTTCGAAGGTTGCGACCCGCACATTCGTAAAAGCCTGCGGGATGCCAAGTCCTGCCAAACCCACTAATCACTAATCCCAATAATCCCAAACCTTGGACTTCTGAACCCTTAACAATTATAACCACTGACCACGAGCCCTGGACCCTTCTCCCTCATAGCCAGAAACCTACAGCACGTGAGTTAACGATCTATCGGTGAGCTCCCAGGTAATGTGTTAAAGCCTTCAAGCGATTTCCGCCACGGCTCCGGCACGCCTTGGCCACGAGAGCATTCCTAAGCCCGAAGCCCGAACAATCATAGTCTTCACCTTGCGAAACTTCTGCAGACCTATGGATTCAAGAGGGTTTCAGGTTCTGCCTCCTCGGATACGTCAGCGCGCTCTTCGTGCGGGCCCGACATCTGATGCTGGAAGAAGGAGAGCGCGAAACTGCCAACTCCGCAGTGGCCTCAGGTGTAATACAGGGGCCTGAATACTTACCAGTACTCTTTTGGGGGTTCCTTTCTATAGTTGTACAATAATATACCCCAAAGCCTTATTCTAATTATTGCAAGGCCCCTATATTCGATGGAGTCATCTCAGAGTTCAGGGCCTCTGGGTCTTCGATTCGGGATCCCCCCATATTTTTTAACGACCTTCCTTTTCGGGCGCTTGGCCTGGGAATCCTCTGCGCCGATTTCTGAACTCAGTAACGTCCTCAAGTTCCCCGTCTTACTCAGGGAAGTCACTAGGCGCATGATGCAATTTCTTCCCGACCTGGTCCCAGAACAGGTTGGGATTTGCAGACTATCGTCGCCTTTGTTGGCTAACAAAGGCTAGCTTTCGCCTACTCAGGCCTACTTTTGCATGTGGAGACCTTTTTGTAGAATTGTCATTCACACTTCTTGCATAGAGGTTTTTTATAAAAACCATCTATGCGGGTTTTTATAAAAAACTCAATTGTCATTCACACTTCGATTTGCATGTGGTGTTCATCCCACTGCTTGGGAAGAGCGCCCGAGATCGTTTCTAGCCCTTCTCAGCGCTCAGTCGGCCAACCTCGGCTTCTGAAGTCTTTAAACGCATGTCTGGTTTTCTCACCCGTGCAAGCAACACGCTCGATACTAAGACATTGTGCATTGCAAACGCTGTGCCAAGCGATTGAAGTCTCGGTGCTTTTGCCAGACAAGTCCTCTTCGGGTGACCCCACATGCATGAATTCAAGACAGCGCGTCTAAGTTCTTTATATCATAGTTTGGTAGCGAAGCACAGGTCGACGAATTCAATCCCGAAGCACTAAGCCTTCAACGTTTCAAACACTAAACTTGCCCTTCATGATTCAACATGATTCAACCCACACTGAAAGATTTTCTTGCAGAACTTCCAACAATGTCCTACAACCCCCAAAACCCTACGCCCTGGAACCTGGCCCCTCCTCGAACTACTTTAACATCCTTTAAACGGCTGCATCCTCAGGATTTGGCATATGCCGAGCCGATCTTAGGAAAGGAGCTGCTCGGTCGATCGGGTTCGGTTAAGGTGTGAGGTTGCGGATCTGCGAGTTTAGGGTTTCGGGTTTCATCAGGGTGGAGGCCAGATGCAAGAAAAGTTTCATCAGGGAGTTTCAGGGATGCGTGCTTGAAGCGCAGGCCGTCTGGGCTTGCTGTTAGGTGTTGGTTGGAGTGGAGAAGAGCTCGAATCGAGCCTGTGTACCCAGCGCAGGCAGAATCAGGCAGATACGAGCAGCAGTATTCCTTTGGGCAGGCTAGGTGAACGGTGTTCGTTCTTGCGCCGCGTCAGTCCTTTGAATGCACAGAGCGTTTTCGGGAACCACGCAAGCTCCGTTCCCATGCTCAGCACGTCAAGCCGGCAACCCACCCAAAACGACCGTCAGCCCTCAGCCCACTTTCCCATATTTCCACTCTACACGTCCTGAAGGCCTTCTGGGATCCGAACCCGAAGGCAAAAGTCGCATCACGCACGAACCGCTGAGCACCCCGGCCCCCGACCCCCAAGTCCAAACCCGATACCCCGAAAGCCCCAAAAGCGGTCAACTCCGCACGTCAGCTCAGGATCAGCTTGGACTTTCTGGACTCGTCTCCCTGGCCCGTGTCCATCCTGGACATCTTCCTGATCCTCGGCTTGTGGGCTTTGGAGACTTAGCGGCTCTTGTTGGCGTGTTGGAAGGGGAGAGGGCCTCGGGATCTTGCAGCTGCAGGACACTTGCGGCCGAATCCCAGGTCGGTGCACGGTTTTGTGAATTTGGAGACTCCGGGCATGAGGCGGTGTGTGAGGATTTCAGGACTGGTGTGGATTTCTTAGGGCATCTTGCCCGACACCAGAAAGCCCTGAGCCAGAGCAGGTCTTGGGGGTTTAGTCAGGATGTGCAGTCTTGGGCGTCCCAGAAACTTCAGGCTGGGGGTTTCTGGATCTTCAGATCTCCAGCTTTCCGCGTGCCAAAGCCACGATCTGTCTCTGAAAGGTGAAGGTCGGTTCGAGGGTTTCCGGTTCTGTGGCAGGGTGAAGATGAGCGCACGACCCTGAAATGTAAACGGCGTTGCCTAGATTTCAAGATCTTGGAGTTCAATCGGCCCCATTTCCGGCGTTTAGGCACTGATCACCAGCCGGTTTTGGGGGGTCTCGTGCAGGGCTTTTCTTAGAAGCGGCGTCGGCATCCAGGAACATCAACCAGACAGAGTTCCTGACCTATGCCTCTTGGTATCGGATCCAGATAGCAAGCAGCCCTTCAGTTGCGACTCTGCAGCTGGAACCTCGAATCCTAAGTCACCTGTCTAGACGTATCTCAACTGTGCGGGAGTTGTGCCGTTCCAGCCCTACAGCCTGAACTGAAGCCACGACGCATCCCTCTTCAGCCTCGAGCTTGTGGGGCAATGGCGCTGGCAAGAAACCCAGAAAGAGTAGAGGTTCGAGTAGCACAGACACCATCAGTGGCACTGGCCATGACTAGCCAGCACTGGGACTCCCTCCGGCATGTGTGGTGTCGGGGTACCCGTTGCTCTGCCAGCCTCCCACCTCCTCAGGCACAGTATGCTGCCAAGAATCCGGTCAGACCTCCCTCCGTGCCGCTGGAGTCGCTGCACTGGCAGCCTCCGCCTGACCTGGTGCAGAGGTGCACGTCAAACACGCGAGCTCTCAAGATTCCAGTTGCACGCTCCCAGCCGCAAGAGTTCGAGGTATGAAGTCTCCAGCCCCCTTCCCAGACCCATAAGCAGTCAGTTCTCTGCGCAGTTGGCATTGCGTCTTGCTAGAATCCCGACGGCAACCCCAAATCCCGCTTCAATCATTTGGGTCCGCAGGGATCCTAACCAGCTAAGCCACAGCATAGCGTGCGTCAGCTTTCAATTTCGATAGGAGACAGAATTCTGATGCAGGCTGTCGCAGGTTCGGACACCATCCGACGTCTCTGTGGCTGTCTTCGGCACGCATGCGACGCTGCCTCGGGACTGCAAAATGTTTGCGGTTCGAAGAGGGGTTGGGTTGGTTTCGTCCACCCCCCCAACCCGCCCCAGCCACCCTGACTTAAAACATCTTAAAACTATGCATTTTTTTGATGTCAACTATGTAACTATGCACATCTTTCAGCATTCGACACCTTCAGCTCAGTGCTCCCACGGCTTCCAAGAACTCAAAATGTGGCAAACTCTGCACAGGTCCCTGGAGCCGGTGGACATGCTCACACGGTCACAGGGGTCACCTGGCAGCCAGAAGCCCCCTTCGCCCTTTGCAGCGATTCCATTTGGGCTTTAGGGTTTATGGGGCCAGTGACGGTGTACCTCCGCGATTGAAAAAACTGCCAAACTAGTAATGTCAAGCCACCCCCCGGCTGAACAACATCGTCAAAGTTCCTTGAGATAATTTTGCAAGACTGTAGCAAAGGCTCACGGGTTCCTCTGGGCTTGAGGGGTGTGCGGCTGATACGTACTACCTACGGTGCAATTGAACTTGAGCTGACTCGGACCACTCCTAAGTTCCAGCGATCCTGTCTACGCACGCAGTCAGGAGCCCTTTTCCGTGGTTCTCCTTCTCTGATAAGCCCAAGGCCGTAGGCCCTGAGCGAGGCCAAGGACTCTGAATCTCTGCCTCCGAGGTTTTTCCGCGTGAAGGCCACCTTCTTTGGCCTCGCCTGTGCCCCAGGAATTCTTCAGGCTTCACTTCAGGGCTTCAGGGCTCACGGCTCAAGCGCATCTTTGGAACTCCCTTGCTTGGACGGCAGCTTCGTCTTGCTTTGCATGTCGGTTCGACCGGGTGCAGGCGCACGCTCCAGAAAAAAGGCTGTGCACGGTACGTCTTTGCAGCACAGAAGCAACTAACCAACTCCCAACTGGAGCACGGGGCAATTAAAACCTCAACTGTCAAACTCTCCAGGTCCCACCAAATGAACCCAGCACTCCAATCACGAATGCCCCAAAGCCCACGCCCGAAAGCCCGAAACTTGTAAACACCAAACGCCTCTGTCCGAGTGCGAGTGCTGATAGCCCGACACGATACAACTCGGGGAATAAGCCCTGTAACGAACAACCTAGAGTCTAGAAGAGAAGCCAACAACTTGAAAGCATTTTCGAAGGAGCCGCGCTGGTGCGAGATCCTCGGCCTTTGCAACCAGGCCCCCTCCCCGGAATGATCTTGCGATCGGGTTTGAAGGCATCAGTTCCCAGGTTTAAGTCCACATTTTCGTCGGCGTGGCAGCCGCCCTTTCGTGCGGCTCGGAAACCTGTTTTGGGTTGTCTGGGTTGAGAAGATCTAGGGTGCAAACAGGGGTTCATCTGGAACTCAGGGGTCTCGAAAAGAGCCAAAACCGCAAACGTCAAGTGTCAAGCCTACACCTCACACCCCAAACTTGAAGACCGTGGCCTCGGCATGTTGGGTTGAGGCACCGCCCGAGTGTGGGGTGCTTTGTCAACTCGGATTTTGCGCTGTTATCACAGGTCTTGTGCCCTGCAGAGAGCTTAAGCCTTGAGCTGCTGACAACATAACACACTAGAAAAAGCTATCGTGCATAGGCCTGGCTGCAGCTTAGATGGTGCCCGAAGGATCCCGAAGGCTATATTTCCGAAATTTCGCATCTCGCGCTTACAAGCTCAAGCCCCTGCCGGATGGTTGGAATGTAAATTGGCTTAACCGAAGCCGCTTCCCACTGTTCTTCAGCCATACCCTACAATGCGGGCATCGTCCTTGCTAAGTAGGAGGGAAAAACTCCGAAACCATGCGCCGCAGTACCATTGATTTGCGGCCCGTACAACCAGGTTCCCCAACAAGCTGATGAAGCCACGACTAGAACTACACTGGAACTGCTGAGGCGAAACCCTGCCCTATGCATTGTGGGCATGAATCGTAACCGAAAGCCCCAGCATGACTGCACCCCACGATATGACCTATGAAACAGTCTCATTTCCATATTGCCATAACCCCAGCCCGTGAGTCGGATCCAGGGCTCTTCGACAATCACCCAGCTGCTGAGGGCAGCGGAGGAAGCGTCTCGGCCGTTTAAGGCTTCGGGATTCAGGTTTCGGGTTGAAGGTTCAGGGCTAAAGGCCCAGGCCGTCGATGCCCGGCTCGGGCTAGAAATTTCTACAAAAAAGGCCGGTTGTCGAGGCTTGGAAAGGAGACCCCCATCGCTAGTTAATGTTGCATCTGTTGAACGCTGTCAACGTAGCCCTGAAACAGAAAAATCATGAGGCCCTGCACCTGAACCCGTAAGCGGGTCTGACGTTAAGCCCGTGAACTGCGAGCGTGTCCCTGCAATGTGGAGGCAAAAGAAAGCCCAAAGTCGAAGATGGGCTTCTATGTAGGAGCCTCAAGAACAGACGGTTCTTTTTGGGTTTAGTCTCTGCAATATGCCGACGCGTGCAGCAACCCGATCGCCTACACCAGGGTTCTGATCAAAGTCCAGAGGGACCGATGAAGGAGTCCATGGTTTCAGGCCGGAGCTGAATTATCCAACCCCTTACGCCCTACGCATAGACCGCCTCCGAGGATCCCTATGCCTATCCCTGGGACACCATGCGCCGTGACCAAATCCGGTTTGCAGAGGATTTATGGTTTGACAGGGCAAGATGTGGTGTGAGACGATTTGAGTAAGAGTTATGCAAGGTTACAAACGAAGGGAGCGTCTTTCGGGGCACATCCCTGCCTGCTGTCTATGAGTCTATGAACTCGTCTATCTGCATTGATAACTTTTCGGCCGTGCATGCCTTTTCCTATGGAGTTTGCATGGTGACTGAGTCGCTTCTTGCTTGGGCGACGGTTTGGTCTTGCCTACGGGATCATCGTTTCACTGGTGTTCCTCTTGGACAGAAGAACAGGATCTGGGGTCTTTTGGGCCTACGGTCGAGAGTTCCAAGGCAAGACTGCTGTCAATGAGGTCATTCCTAACGGTTGATGATTGTCGTTGTACATTTCGTTTCCATAGAAGCTCAGTTGAAATCTTGGCCACGTAGATGAATGCGCCGAGTGGGCCTTGTTGCCATTTTCCAGTCTTGTCTGCAGACCTTGCCTGGCATAGTCCGAGTGTGAGCGTCAAAAATCCACTCAAGCCCGGAACCCCGCCCAGAGCCCCAGTCGCCCCAGTCTGAAGCGCAGAATTCCAAACCATTCAAGGGCCAAGCCAAAACCCCAGCCGCCAAAACCCAGTCAAGACTTGGAGCGAAAGAAGAGGTCTCAGCATCTCAGCGCTGCCGCTGCAGGGGACCAGGCCCTCCGAGAGGTCCCTCTCGGAATGTCCGGCTGAGATCGTTCAAGCTTCAGGGCGGGCTTTCAGTCTTTCGGATTTAGGCTTGAGGGTTCTTAGGGTTTCAGTTTAGGATTCGGGGGCTTGAGGGGCTTGAAGCAAGAACACACTGCAGCAGTTCCTGATTTCGAGCTCAGCAAGCAAAGCACCAGTGCGTCGATACTGAAAAAGCTGGAGGAGATTCTCAGCTGGTTGGGCAACCTATAGTGGAACATAGAAGATGAGTTGAATAGGTCGTATGTAGGGAGGATCATGCTGCCAGGGGCTGGAAATGAAGTGCAGTGGCAGGTGCAACATGTGGTCACGCCTGCAGAGCTTGAGCTTTCGTTCTTTCCGAGCTCGGCTTTCAGCTTTGAATGGTGCTCTTGGAGTTTCGGCTTCGTCGCATGGGCTGCGTTGCCGTACTGGCTGGACCACGCTGCACCCGTTGTTGCTAGCATTTCTTGTTGTTGTGTTGCTTCTATGCTGTATCTGTACAATTCTTGCTTCTGTTGGTCATGCTAGCTTTCATTCTTCTTGTCCTAGATACTGCCGCCAAACGGCAGCCAAAGGCATCGCTTCCGCCGTTGTGCAGTACAAATTTGGTGCCCGAGTCCTTACCACTTACACAGGATCCGTGTGGCGCGCGGCTCCCGCTGTGGTGTGGTGTTTCGTGGTGCATGCGCTCTTTCGCTCGCGTCTTATCATGTACAGAGGATCCGGTGTGCTACCAATTGTAATGCTTGGCCACTTTTGGGTTTCGAACACGTTGAATCGCAGCAGTTATGGGCAAAAAATATTTTGGGTGTCTCGTGGATCCCACAAGTTAAGGGGGGACGCATCAGCGGCGTGGTCCCCGAAACGGGGCAAAGCATTTTGGCGACGAGCCCGACTGGGGGCAAAGCATTTGGTCGTCTCCTGTATTGTCCCGGTAGTTGAGCAGAGTCGTGAAGGCCGAACTTGCAATGCCGAAACTCTGAGTTTGGTGTTTTCGGGCGAGGCTCAGCTGCTTCTCTGTACTGAGCCGGTCGCTGGCTGCGTCATGCTGCGGCAGCCCCTTGTGTGAGTTTGCGAGGGCCCAGGGTCTAGCATGTAACGCTCAGGGCATTAGATTTCAAGGAGTTAGGACTAAGAGCTTAGGGTCGAAGGGCTCGAGACCCTGAGAGTAGGCCAAGCTTAGCTTGAGATGGCATGAGGGTCTTGGACTATGGGCTTCAGCCTGAGGAGTTTGCAGGTAGAACGGAAACTTCGTCGTCCCGTGAGCTTTTAGGGCATGGGACACGGGACCAGCGGATGGATCACGACAGCTGGGTCCTGAGGCTATTCAGCCTTCAGCTTTCAAGCTTTCCAAGCTGTCGGGCTTGTGGTCATCAGGATTCAGGATGTTTCCGTTCTGCCTTCAGCCGCTGAACTAAACCTCGTCCCGGCGCTATGACAGCGCGATGAAGCCGGAAACGCATGGCCGGGAGTCTTAGGTGGGCCAGCCGTGAGAGGGGCGCAACTTTGCCGATGCTCGGCTTCTGGGGATGCAAGCATGGGGAGTTTTGGGGATCCGTTTTTTGTGCCTCTCTGTCTGTCTCTCTCTCTCTCTCCGCCCTCCCTACTTCGATCGACCGGCCTATTTATGGATGTGTTGGTCCGTTTGTGTCGTTTGCCTCTCGCATTTGTTCCACACTGTCCCAGACGCACTGGCTGAAGTCCCAAAGGCCGGAGGGTCGTATTATGCCGGCCGGCCTCCGGGTGCCCGTCTGCTCGAGGTTTCGAGTGTAACAAATCCTGAACTCAGACTCGTACACTTGCTTTTGTAGTTGGGTGGCTCGAAGCCCTGAGTCTCGACATGTCTCGACGACTGACATGTCTTAGTGAGGGTCCACCTCAGCTTCCTGTCCGAGGCTACTATGGGGTGGCTTTACTCAACGGCTGCCCACCGCAGGCACGCAAGCGATCTCGCCTGGGCGCAGGGCTTTGTGAGTTGTCGCATCTCAGTCAGATGGTATAGGCTCCTACCGCTTAGAGAATCGCATCTCGCATTCGGATGTATTCAGTTATTGAGAGTCTGCCTCCAGATCGTCAGCTGGGGAGACTTTTCACGAGCTCGTGACAAGCTACACATAGGCATTTTCCAACAACTCACAAGACTGACATCTGGGAACAGGTAGGCTGACAAAGAAGCGACTAACAGCAATTGTCGTGTGAAACTTAACCAGCAGCACATATCATCTAACAAACGAGAATGTCCAGCAGCATTTGTCATCACCACAACCAACAACGGCACAAACTAGAGCAGCAGCAGGAGGAGGAGACACACCTGCCCTGGCATGGGGCAACGCACCAGCACTGGCAACAGCAATTTCGACAGAAGTCACAGCAGTATAAACAGCAACAGCGTCGCAACAGCAACAGCAACACCGACCACAGAAAAGCCAAGCACACCTGAAACCCTTCGCGCGCGAACATAGCGGTGACAGTCGCAACTCACCGCTCCGAGCAAGTCAAAAGAATTGACCCAGCCGTGCTAAATCTCAGACACAAACCCGGAGGACGTGAAAACCTTCTGGCGAGGGTTCAGCGAACTGCTCGACAGTGGCTCCATGGCACGCATGGCGACCAACAACCTCATCCTTTCGGAGCAGCCGCAGGGACGAATTCATTCTGAATACCGATACGGCTTTTGTTGGCAGCCATATCGCTAGCATTGAGACTTAAGTATGCTTCTTGTGTGGCAGAGCCAGCCGCCAGCGTCATTCCTGCACGGTCACGTTACTTCAAGCCTTTCCCACGCCTTGCCCTGGCGGTTCGAACCTTGTGTACAGAGGGCTTCGGACTCGAAGGGCTGTGAGTGTGCATGCCAGGAGTGACTTATTACATAGAAGTCGACCGCCACTCAACCGCTGAACCAGTGGACGATGCTTCGGCATCTATTTTTAATGCAAGCTCCACTTTCGTGTTTCCATCGTTTCCATCTTGAGGATCTTCTATCAAACCGGCCGGCGGCTTCCCTACGTGCGTGCACACGGCCTCTATACTGAGGTCCCGTCATGAGATCCAGACCCGCAGTTGGAATGAGAGGGCTTTGCGTAGACTATAGACCATGCAAGACATAACGGCTCGTGTTGTTGTTGTATGCAGGAGGAGAGACTATCGTCTTCGCTCAAACACCCGAAAGGTCAGTGAGTACTGCTGCCAGCTTGGGCATTAGAGTGTTGATCACGGCCGTGGCTGGACTTGCGGAATTCAGGGTTCACGTCATGTTAGGATTTGGGTTCAAGCCGAAAGGAAAACGGCTTCGAGACTTCCATTCCATGGAGGTAGGTTTTTCTTGAAAAGGTGTGGTCTAGAGCTTCCGTCCATGTGCGCAGGGCTTTCAGATTCAGACCTTGGGCTGCATCGGTTGCAGCCAAGCATCATGCCTGCGGACAGGTGTCTTACTCACCCAAGCTTCTGGACCAAGTACTCTTCTGGAGGCAGGACCGGCTTCCCACCCAAGGTGCTTAGTTCATATCATCCAAAAGTCTATGCGCGCATCGCAGTAAAGATACCTTCGCCTGCGCATTTCTCGCTTTTGTCGCCTTTGCAGCATCTTGAAGTCTTGAGGGGTGATGGGTTCGAGAGCTGGAGCATTCAAAATGATCATTTGCAGCTGTCAACCCCCTAGGGTCGGCTGCTCAAGCGGGTAGGGGTCGAAGACTTGAGATGTTCCCAGCTGCGTGCAGGTCACCACTGTTTGCATATGCTCCCCGGCCACATCGAGGGAACAAATCAGCCTAGGCCTTGCGTCAAGATATGCGTCAAGATATGACAGATGGATGTGCTTTCACAGGTCCAGAGGAGCCGCGAGTAGCCTCCGTCTGTCCCTTTGAGTACTTGCATCGGTGCCGTCGCCTGCCTCACTGTCATCGCAAACGGCAGAGCTCCAACCAAAGAAGCTTGTACCTCTGTCAGTCATCATATCCTGCACCATGTATGCCTGTATGCATCTTTGTACTTGCACGCATGTACGCATGCATTATTCATGGATGCATAGATGCGTGGATCCATTCATGTATGCATGTACGCAAGTGAGCATGTATGTTGTATCTGTGTGTGTGTGTGCACATGTGCATATGTGCATTCGTGCATCGTGATTCAACTTTATATGTGTGTGTAAAGACTGTTCAGAACGATGGTAATAAAAATGATAATAGCAGCAATAACAATATTAAAAGACAGCAACAATAATGATGATGATGATAATACGAAGAACAAGAACAGGAATCAAAGCAATAAACAGACTAAGAATGCGAATAATACACAGGGAATAAGAACAAGTATCACCATAATAATTAAGGCTTCAAAGTATTTTTCATTCTTCATACGAAATTAAAGATTTAAAGGTTATGACTATGAGCAAGGGTTATTAGTGTTACAAGCACTAGTGTTGTTGTTGTTTCTGTGTATTATTGTTACTACAACTATTACTACTATAACTACTATTACTCTTGCCATCACTATCTCTGTTACCTACTACTGTGCCATAACCAATCGTTAGCCCTGAATCCTAAACCCTACCTGGCGCCATCGGCACTCGTAGCCTCTTTGCCATGCTTCCAGCAGCAGCTGAGGCAACTCTTCGTTGTGCCATGTTTCGCTTTCTGGAAGGCCGTGTTGACATGGGCTATGAAACTTTAGTGCGTAGCCGCCGGGGATTCAGAATTTCAATGCTCCGCAGGGAGGTCGAAGGTTGCAAAAGCCGATCGAACGGAGGTCGGGATCACGATTCTGTGGCCGATGTGCACCGCTGTGGACTAAAAGTCTTTCAGAAGGATATGGTCAATTCGTGGAGGCGGAGCAGGCAAGCCAAACAAAAACGGCATGGCCATTTCCTGTGTGACACGGCTTCTCTGAACCCGGAAGCTCTGAGAACCTGGAGCCCCGAAGTTACAAGCTGAAGCCCCAGATCCTGATCCTGAATGCCTAATCCTCGCTCTCGCGGAGGCTTCGGGCAGTACCCGCTGAAGTTCTACTTCCTGGAGGGCTCGGAGAGTGTTCCCTATGCCAAGGCAACATCGGAATTCACTCGCGGCCTGCATGCGTTTTCGGGTGAAGGGTTGGGAGGCCCAGGCCTGGACCTAGTCGGCTTCAGACACTGAGCCCCACCCCTTGGCAAGCCAAAGCCAGTCGCAGCGCCTGGAGGCGGTTTCCTACCGGGCCATTGCCATGCTTCCTCACGATCACGCGCCTTTCCGTCAAAGGTTTCCCTAGTTGCGAGCTCGGGCTGGCTGACATGGGCTAAGCCCATGCCATGGGGTCGTGAAGGGCGGGAGTTGGCTCTACTAGCTTCGAGTTTGACGATGTCACACAATCGTTTTCTTCGGTAAATGCATCCCAGGCAAGGGCAACGAGTCCACCATGTGGCGGGAGAGGGGTCGCGGGGTCTCAAACCCTCAGCCAACAACCAGCCGCACAGGCGGAAACGGGGTCCGCAAACTAGTCTTGGATCAGAGACCTCTTACAGGATGCAGTCGTTTACTTGAGTGACACTGCCCTGGGATTTCACGCTTTAGGGCTGCAGGCTTGCACGGCTTGGGGCTCGGCGGGGGTCTCTAGACTTTGGGATTTCGACCTTCAATCTCACACGAGGCAGGCAAGGCTTCACGACAAGTCTGGATAAAGAGATCTCCGCTCGAATCAGGCCCCAACCCAACCTCCGCCAACCACCGGGGAGGAGTAAAGCCGGTTCCAGACCAACAGGTAACGTTACCGAACAGGGGCCTCAGTTACCCGGCATAGAGGTTTGCTTCAACATCTCCACGGCTGTCGCATCAGGCTGGTTAGAATCCCGGGGCTGTTATGGTAGAGCCTGCAACTCCTGCTCTCGTGCAAGCGTCTATCCCGAGCTCTGAATCACAGGAACGCTGCAATGAACGAACATTTTGGCTGTGCAGGGGGTTTAGGGTTGACATAGGCGTGTGGTGTTGTAGGACAGTGGATTTCGCGTCTTGAATGTTGAACTAAGGAAGAGCAGGTTCAGGATTTTAATTCTGGTTCTGGGTCTTGAAAGGCTTTTGTTGGGCCGGGGCTCTGGCCAAGAGCTCCTCCGAGGCGTTGATGTCCTTCTACGAGCTCTACTCCACGGCGACCCCCCTGCTGCTGCCATCTGCAGAGTGGATGTACCGCCTGCCCGGGGCCTATTCGGACCCGACATCACTATGCTGAAATTTCCCATCGGAGGAAGTGCGACCCGTTGAAGGGCCTAGCAGCCTAGCAGACCAGAGCCGACCCCCAGGCTTTACATGCGCGGCCAGCTCTCTGTGGGCGAGCGTGCCCGGATCTGGAATTGGCGGGCCGAGTCTGTGGTCAGGGCTTGAAGATACCACAAAATGTGCTGCAGACGCAGTCCAAAAGTTCATGGTTTACATTGGGATCCGCCTGTGTGTCTGCCAGATGTTCGAAGGCACGGGCGCTGACCCGCTTGGCGAAAGCCAAGCCAAGAGTGTCCAAGCACCAATTCCTAAAGCCCCGAGGCCCCGACCTAAAGCAGGCCCATATCTTCCTTGCCTGAATCGAACCAAGCAGATTGGATCCGTGTCACGAAGACTCGAAGGGGGGAAACTTGCGAAGTTTCGATCTCCGAACACTGCAGGTTGGTATCAGTCCATCATGCCCGGCCACGAGCCGCCTTACTGCGAGTTCGAGGACCCCAGGGCATGGACGCACCCATCCTGAGCCCGAAAACCCAGGTGTCTAGCTTGTTCATTGCGTCCTGCTTTGTCGATCTTGCAGACAAAAAATGAATTATGAATCTAGGCTTAAGGTTTCCGCCTATCTGGGTCTGGAAATCGTCGGAGCAGGTGGAAGGCGGAGCGGGAGCCGGAAATGATGCACAGACCGAGAAATGGCGATGATGACTGCGACTCGACGACGGAGACGACGCAGCTCAGAAAGATCTGCCGGGCTTGATGGTTTCAGCAGGAACGAGCTGGACACAGTCGTCGTGCAGACAGAAATTGAAGACTTTGCCGGCGCCACCGGCACATTAGTGATCCAGGCACGCACGATGGACGGCCGCGAGTTCGCACAAGTAACGTTGGATGCCAACAAGGCACTGACGCGCGCACTTGTCGAAGAGTTGGCCTCAAAGTATCCCTGCTCACCCACCGCTCTGCGCCTTGTGCTGCCTGGTGGCAGTGGCATCGATCCTCTCGAAACGGCCAACAAACTATTGGCCGCGGTCTTGGTGGAAGGGAAGACGATGAGGGCATACACATGAGTCCGCCATCCCGTGCTGTGGGTCACGCACATTCTGGTACTTAGCCGAGCAAGGCTTCGACGACAAGCTTCAGCTTGCGATGCCATGCAGTGCTCGCTTCCGTTGTCAGTCTTCTGGCTAAGCAACGCATCACAAAGAAAAATTCCACAACCCCTCACCCATCCCAGTCCAACGCTTTGAGCTCGACAGATGTTTTGCAAACTCTCCTTGTGCGCCTTGTATGCCATTGTGGAACCTAACCTCCTGCTGTTTTTGGGAGACAAGGCAGGGGAATGACAACCCGACACCCTGAAGACCCCTCTTCGAAGCCCGGCATTCTAAGTATTTCAAAAATCTTCAAATTCCTGGCAGATTCGGTTGCCATTATTGCAGAGCAGCAGCCTTGGTACTGGTAATTGCACCCATTGTATGAGTAACATTGTGCCTCGAAAGCCACGTTCGTATTCCAAGAGCAACTCCATGTCTTCTCCAGCACCGGCAGGACGCAGGGGAAGAAAAGAAAGCCCGAAACTCAGGTCTCATCGTCGATTCAGATCCCTTTTTGCTGTAGGGCGAAGCGGAGCGCGGGAGATCGGATGGTAACCCATACGGGAGCTGGTGCTCAAGACCTCCACGGCCAGATGACGAAGCAAAGCTCTGGCGAGGATGATGAAGACACAAAGTAAGTTGCAAGGGAGGCTCTTTCTCCCCTTCGAATCGAAGATTGCAAAGGAAGACGTCTGAGACCCTGCCGCAGGGTGGGTGGCAAGCACGAAGATGCAGCCCACAAAAGCTAGTTGATCAAGACCTCGACGATGACTCACAGCACGTGCCTGGAATTTCCTCCGCAACAACCGCACGCATGTGAAGCAGATGTTCTGTCCAAAACCTTGTGGAAGTATTTAAGAAACAGACTCTAGGAGCGTTCAAACACCAGGATCTGTAGGAACAAGACCTCTGCATCACCTGTTAGACCTCCTGTTAGAGAACTGAAGGGGGCGTTCCAAAACTCTAACCTCGCATGGATTGTCCGTCTCGGGTGGTGGCTTCGGATTGATGATGCGGCAGCAGCAGCAGCCAACAGCATCCAATAACCTGAACCCTGAACTCCCGATCCCGAGGCAGGCACGCCGGACCCAACTTGGGGGGTCAATGCGGCAAAGGCTGCTCGCATCGCCGCAGTGTCCTGGCCGTGAATCGGAGAGGTTTCAACCGCAGGCACTTGGAGGCAGAGTTTCATTCAATGTGCACAAAAACTCCGGGCTCATCCGGGGGCTCAAGAACAGGTCAACCATGTATTGCTTCAGTTTCGGGATCTGCTGGGCTTCACGTCTGCCATTGTAAGTCCTCCGGAAGGTCTTCTGGAAGGCTTGGAGAGTAAAGCAAGGCAGGCAGGGCATGGCAGAGCTATTCTTAACGTCAGCGGGGTCACGATGGACTTCAGGGGCTGAGACACTACGCAAGCCCTCCGAAGCCTCTCAACCTGAGCCACAATCCCGAGAGAGTTATGTGCTTTCAGATGCATGTATCGCGCTTTTTGCTGCGATGATGCTGCTCCTTAAATTGCCCATGAAGGTGCTGTTTGCATATGCATAAAGCCTAGTTCCTGTCTTGATGTGTCCTGCCTTCAATACGTATATTGTGACAGCAGCTATGGCATGGACTCCATGGCCCCACATCATTGGCCCGCGCGGGAATGCCGCAGCTACAAAGTCGCAAGATCGCTGTTGTACTCTGCAGCATGCCCTGCTGCTGCGAAGGAGTGGTGAAGCTCGCCGATGAACCCAAACTTTACAATATAGCATTGCATCGTTCACCTGTTTCATAGGTTTGTGCGAGATTTGTCGGACGACGCATAGGGTCCACGCATGAACGACTGCCATATCTCGGAAGTGTCTTCCAGATCTTGGCTCGTTTCACATGTGGCGTAGACGTCACATGCTGCCCTAAATCCTGAAGTCTGTTCGAGGTGCAGACTCTGAAACGGATCGTTACCGCCACCGATCTGGAGACTGCCAAGAGCATGGCGCAAGCCACCCTCGGACCCTGGGTTGGGATTTGCGCCACTGTCCTGGCTCGGTTTCAGCTCCGTTACGCCTTAAAACCATCCCGAGGATTGGTTCAGAATTTGCGGTTGTACAATGGTTCCTGGAGTTTTGGTGACGTGACACCGAGAACCCCTCGTCGAAGGCCTGGGCTGTCCTGGGCTTGGGCTTCGGACCGGCCGCTGCAAGGATCAGCAAACCAGAAGTTTCGGGAACTCGTGGTAAATGTGGTGTAGCCGGGGCAAGAATTGACCCAGTATTCACGGTTGCCGTTTCTGGAGGACTGATGGAAGACCAGCTGCTCGACTGCCTTCTCGACCTGGGTAAGTATTGCGGAACTAGAGGGTTATCGTGGGCGTAGGGTAGGGGCACTAGAAGACCAGCGATGGCGCCTTGAGTTGGGGAGGATCTTGCTTGGGGCACGAGGCATCTCGTGCATAATGCAATTCCGGCACTTGTCGATGGGATGATGGCTTGGCCGAGGAGGTTGAGGTCCGAAGTGGTTGATGCCAGAAAACGCATCAAAGCAAGCTCATGATCGATACGTTAGAGCGAAAGGTTAGAAGTGTTTGGTTTGAAGCATTCGCCAGTGCTAGTCGTCCAGATTGACTTTGATTTGGCGAGACCGTAAACCCAGGCCCGATAAAGTCACCAGCGATACCGATGCCACTATGCCACTGCGTACTTTCTTGATATAAAGACTTTGGTTCAAGTTGGGCTGTCGTATTGATCCCACCCTGCAGGGCTTGATCTCGCCCACGAGGCAAGAAATAAATTTTAGTGACAAGAGATCTCCAAGACGTCGGCCTCCTTTTGGTAATCTTCTTTGTCGCAAAAAGTTGCTTCCAACTTCTCTGGCTTTGGCTTTGGGAACCCCTGAGTAGCTTGAACTGTCAACCTGAGCATCGGCTGGCTTCGAAAGTTGCGATATGTGGTGTTGAGTTTGAGATGGTTTAAGTGTCGTTTTGTCTGCCGCTTGGTACAAGTAGTTGCCAGGTGTGCTTCCATGCATAGTCATAGTCCCTCATGTTGGCCAGAATCTTCGGAAGCCGCATGCCCCATGTTCCACAAAATTTTATGTTATCGGTGCGTAAGATGCATATGGTTGTGCGGCATTTGCTGCACGCAGTGATCCGGGTTTAGGTTTGGTGCTACACTGGCGGCAACCATGAGGCTTGCGCAAGAGCTCTTGCGCAGAACTGCATTGCAGTTTGGCATTGTCGAGTTCCTGTCTGGCCCGAGGAAATTCTTCTTGGCAGTGGCTGCTAACGAGACCGACCAGGACATCTTGAGGCAGTGCCTGTGCCCTCAAAGCAAATCTCCCGGCAAGGGGGCCAAAGACCTGCATCCGTCTGTATCGAACGCACCCGAAGTACTTAGCGCCTGACCGGTTTAGAGTTTAGAGGTACTTCGCTCGACCCCAGAAGCCCTGCAGCAAAGGCGTTTTCTTACCTGCAAAATCCTGCAAAATCCTGCAAAACCGCAAGACTTGGCCCGAAATTCCCAGTGCACTCTCGGAATCTATCCAGTGCCTCGCGGGAATCCCATTCGATCTTTGGAAATTTGCGGGATTTCAGTTGTCACTCGCTCCCAGCTGGCACTGCACAGCAAGAACAGAGCGCACCCTACTCGTACCGTCCCCGCCTTACTCAGTCCTCAATCCTAGTCTCGCAGGATTCCGCAACTTCCATGGGTGTCGTCCGGCGGAAGGAGCCTCCAAGCGAACGAAAGGTTTAGGGCTCGCAAGGATTGGGGTCGAAGGCCACTATACGGCTACTATACGGAACCCTTGGAGTGGGCAGCAATTCTCGAAAATGGTCATCCTCCTCTAAGTTCGGGGTGTCAGCCTTCAACCTGGAGGATACCTCGGATGAGCAGGTCACCTTCCATCGGAGCGGAGGAGCACGTGCGTTGTATCATATGTAACAGTATATATCAGGCACTGGGTGAACAGTAGCAGCAACGACGACGACAGTAGCCAGCAGTCACATTCACGATGCGGGCTGCTGCGAGCAGCAGCAAACTCGCCATGCTTGGACTAGGGGTTCGTGGTTCGGGTTGCAGGATCAGGGGTGCTTTGAGCTTGGTTTGACACATCCCCAGCTGTCCGAAAACACCAAAGCATGCAACCAGCCAGAGGAGAGAAGTCTTGGCACCCCTACACGCCCTTCCAGATGTCGAACCGGGACTCCAACGACTGGACGCGCATGCGCAAAGGAGGCACGGAATGCGGGACTCAGGCAGAGTTGTCGGGATTGAAGGTCCAAGCTGAAAAGTCAGCACTTACCCCATCAAAAATCCAAAGCCCAAAGCCCCGGATTCTGAGCCTCATTCGGATTTGAAGCAACATCCCGGAATCATAATGAAACACCGTAACCACATGCATGTTCGCAGCGCAGACCGGAAGTCGATAACAAACACAAAGTGTGGAGGGGACTACCGATTCAGACCACTGCAATCATCAGAGGGCTTTTTGGTGCGGATCCCACAAATGAAGAGCAGGTGTCATGCAGTTGTACCCACCGACACTGATGTTCCCGAACCAGACCAAAATTCGCAAGGTTGGTGGTTGCGGAGGGGTCCCCGTTTCGATGCAATGCGCTACTGGCATCAGTTCTCGGATTTTGCCACTTCGACGATCTTTGGCCAGGGTGTGGGAACGTGGGTGTCAGCGACATGTCACAGGATCCGGCCTTGAAAGGCTAATTTCGCAGGCTTGTCCATACTATGATCCAGTGGTAGATGTACAAAGAAGGCTTCTAAACCTGCTGGTGTCTACTGATGTAACAAAGTTTGACTGGACAGCCTACCCGATCACCGCATCCCTGTGGAGATCAATATCCAGGCAAGTGTTGTCATTGTGATTGTGCTACATGTTGCTGAACCTCATCCCAAAACATAAAGCACATCGCAAAACCGTTGATCTCCCCAACACCTTGACTTAAGCATCCGCAGAGCTCTCAGCCCGAAGACGTT